TTTTTCTTCTTTTCCTACTAATACACATAATCTGTTGACCTAGTGTATAGACCATTCCTCATCTTTCACCTGTCAGTTACAGTGTTCTTCAGAGACTCTGTTTGTCATTACTATTGAAAAGTGATTAAAAAAAAATCTCTGGGAAAAAAAAAATCCTGTGCAAAATTCACATTGATTTAACGACTTCATACACATACATTTATCACACAAAAATAAATATTTTACTTATGTCACTACTCAGTTTTAATCAAGACTTCTTTAGGAGACTGAATTAATCAATCCGTTTTCTGTAAAACTTTTTTGGCATCTCCTCTCTAATAAAAGTTTAGCATGCCAATACATTAAAACACAGCTGAAGATGCTGTACTTTATTAGGATTAGATGTAGAAAGTTATGCTTAGGCATGGGCTCCCAGGGAACAGTAGGAGAGGGACATTAGGTACCTCCATTAAGACAAGTACAGCGTACCAAGACACAAAAGAGTATGACAGTGTGCCTGTCCAGACACAGAACCGTTGCATAAATTACTCCAGTTAGAAATGCAGAACTCCAAGGCACTTAGCCAAATTATACATGCAGTAACTGCCTGCCACCTATTTACATACAAGTACACAACTGCAAGTTGTTTTGTGTCCTGCTACAAGGGTCCACTGAAAAGAACCAGGCTCCAGCTTTTTTTTTTTTACTCCCTCCCAGTAGATACGTATATACTTTGATGAGAGAACCCCTGAGCTTTGGTTACTCCAGGCTCAAGAGCCCCAGCTCTCTCAGCCCCTCTTCGTATGTCAGATGCTAGTCTCTTCATCATTTTTGTGACCCTTTGCCAGAGTCACATCTATTTTTTAAGACTTGCCCTGATATAAAAGCTGTCTTTAGGAAAAGGTATCGAACTCAAAGTCCAGCCCTCCAGAGTCATCAGCACACTGACAGAACCAAGTTATCAACCCTGAGTTATCCCAAACTATTCTGACAAACCTAATAGTAAAGTTGGCAGGAAAATTAAATTCCCACAGATACTATGAGATTCACCCAATAGCGTACATTCAAAGCATGGATAATCTAAAGTGAACCATGTATGATGTGAGGCTATCCATTACTGCCATAGAAACCATAGTTTCCGCATTGCTTGACACTTCCCTGCACCTGAATAAATTTTCACACTGGACATGGCACTAGCTGGACTGATGGTTAGATTTAGTAAGGGACAGTTACACTGAGTTGTCAAGAAGTCCATTTAGTTCCGTATCATTTCTTTGAAAGTCAGCAGCAGATATTGAAAGAACATGAGAACAGTCTGTGTATGTCCTGGATCTTTCAGAAGATGTCCTTACCACTTCCTGCAATTGGTACTTCAAGACCTTCCTGTTCTTATTATGGTCTTGAGAAACAACGAATAACCACTTCCTGCTCCACAGTACTCGAGGTGAGGCCTCACCAGAGCCGAGTACAGGGGGACAATCACTTCCCTAGACCTGCTGGCCACACTGCTTCTTATACAAGCCAGGATGCTGTTGGCCTTCTTGGCCACCTGAGCACACTGATAGCTCATATTCAGCTGACTATCAACCATCACACCCAGGTCCTTCTCCGCCTGGCAGCTCTCCAACCACTCCTCCCCCAGCCTGTAGCTCTGCTTGGGGTTATTGTGCCCCAGGTGCAGGACCTGGCACTTGGCCTTGTTGAACTTCATACAGTTGACTTCAGCCCATCGGTGCAGCCTATCCAGATCCTCCTGCAGAGCTTTCCTACCCTCAAGCAGATCGACATACGCACCTAACTTGGTGTCATCTGCGAACTTACTCAATCCCCTCATCCAGATCATCAATACAGATATTAAAGAGGACCGGCCCCAGTACTGAACCCTGGGGAACGCGACTAGTGAATGGCCTCCAACTGGATTTGACTCCATTCACCACGACTCTTTGGGCCCGGCTATCCAGCCAGTTTTTAACCCAACAAAGCATATGCCAGTCCACGCCACGAGCAGACAGTTTCTTGAGGAGAATGCTGTGGGAAACGGTGTCAAAAGCCTTACTGAAGTCAAAGTAAACCACATCCACCTCATCCACCCAGTGTGTCACTTTGTCATAGAAGGAGATCAGGTTCGTCAAGCAGGACCTGCCTTTCATAAACCCATGCTGACTGGGCCTGATCGCCTGCTTGCCCTGCAAGTGCCACGTGATGACACTCAAGATAATCTGCTCCATGAGCTTCCCTGGCACTGAGGTCAAACTGACAGGCCTATAGTTTCCTGGGTCTGCCCTCCAGCCCTTCTTGTAGATGGGCATCACATTTGCTAGCCACCAGTCAACTGGGACCTCCCTCAATAGCCAGGACTGTTGATAAATGATGGTAAGTGGCTTGGCCAGCTCCTCCGCCAGTTCTCTCAGTATCCTCGGGTGGCTCCCATCTGGCCCCATCAACTTGCATACATCCAAGTGCCATAGCAGGTCGCCAACCGTTTCCTCATGGATGGTGAGGGCCACATTCTGCTCCCCATCCCCTTCCACCAGTTCAGGGTACTGGGTATCCAGAGAACAACTGGTATTGCTGCTAAAGACTGAGGCACAGTTAAGCACCTCCGCCTTTTCCTCATCTTTTGTAACTAAGTTCCCCTCCGCATCCAGTAAAGGCTGGAGATTCTCCTTAGTCCTCCATTTTGCGTTGATGTATTTATAAAAACGTTTTTTGTTGTCTTTGATGGCAGTAGCCTGATTGAGCTCCAGAGGAGCTTTGGCCTTTCTAATTTTGTCCTTGCACTGCCTCGCAACATCCTTATAGTCCTCCTGAGTGGCCCACCCTCTTTTCCAAAGATTGTAAACCCTCTTTTTTCTCCTAAGCTCAAGCCACAATTCTCTGTTCAGCCAGGCTGGTCTTCTTCCCCGCTGGCTCATCTTTGGGCACGTGGGGACAGACCGCTCCTGCGCCATTAAGATTTCCTTCTTGAAGAGCGCCCAGCCTTCCTGGACTCCTCTGCCCTTCAGAACCGCCTCCAAAGGGACTCTGCCAACCAGTGTCCTGAACAGGTCAAAATCAGCCCTCAGGAAGTCCAATACAGTGGTTTTACTGGTCCCCTTCCTGGCTTCTCCAAGAATGGAGAACTCTACTGTTTCATGGTCACTCTGCCCAAGACAGTTGCCAACCACCACATCTCCCACCAGTCCTTCTCTGTTTGTGAAGAGAAGGTCTAGTGGGGCACGTCCCCTGGTAGGCTCACTAACCAGCTGTGTCAGAAAGTTTGCTTCCATGCTCTCCAGAAGCCTCCTACACTGCTTTCTCTGGGCTGTGTTGTGCTTCCAGGGTATATCTGGGAAGTTGAAGTCCCCCACAAGAATAAGCGCTGACGATTTCGCAACTTTTGTCAGCTGCCTGTAGAACTCCTCCTCAGTCTCCTCATGCTGGTTCAGCGGTCTAGAACAGACCCCCACCAGGATGCTTCCCTTGTTGGCCTTCCCGCTGATCCTAACCCATAGGGACTCCACCTTATCATTCCCAGCCTCAAGTTCCACAACATCCAAACTCTCTCTGATATAGAGAGCCACACCACCACCCCTTCTATGCTGCCTGTCCCTTCTGAAGAGCCTATAGCCAGACATTGCAGCACTCCAGTCATGAGAATGGTCCCACCACGTTTCCGTGATGGCATCCAAGTCGTAGCCTGCCTGCCGCACGATGGCTTCCAGCTCCTTCTCTTTGTTACCCATGCTGTGTGCATTAGTGTAGATGCACTTCATTGCCTTCTCTCCCAGCCTTGTCTTTGTTACTCCTGGAACAGCTCTAACAAGCCTTGTTTCAGCCCTGTCCCCCTTCTTACCTAGTTTAAAGCACTCTCAATGAGCCTAGGATCCGTTTTCCCCTTAGAGATAGGGTCCTGTCTGCAGCCATCAGGCCGGGTGCAGAGTAAAGCGCCCCAAGGTCAAAAATAAACAAATTTCTGTGTTGGCACCAGCCTCTGAGACACGTGTTTATCAGGTGGGCTTTCCGTGTCCTCTCTGTACCCCTCCCTGCCACCACAGGGATGGACGAAAACACCACCTGTACTCCCGCTCCATCCACTAACCATCCCAGTCCCCTAAAGTCCCGTTTGATGGTCTTCAGGCTTCTCTCTTCAGTCTCATCACTGCCAGCCTGGACTATCAAAAGAGGATAACAGTCAGAGGGGCGAACCAGGTTGGGAAGCTTTCTGGCAATGTCCCTCACCCTGGCCCCAGGGAGGCAGCAGACTTCCCTACAGGTAGGGTCAGGCCGACAAATAGGTCCCTCTGTTCCCCTAAGAAGGGAGTCGCCCACAACAATCACCCTTCTTTCTGTCCTGGTGGAGGCAGTCCTGAGGCCTTGTGTCGACTTCCTCGCCCTAGACATCCTCCTGGGCAGACTTTCTACCTCTTCCTCAGCTACCTGTCTCTCAAGCTCCAGGGCCTCAAACCTGTTGCGTAAGGGCACCTGGGAAGGGGGGGCCGATAGGGGGAGGGCGTCACCTGGGATGTCGAGCAGGGACCTGTTTCCATTCCTCCTCAACTCCTAGGTCCCCTGCCTCTGCCCAACAGCAGCAGGGCAGGGGGTCCACCCCCATTTGGGGTGTCTCACTCTGGTACCTGTCCTTCCGGCAGCGCAGGGAGTTGCTCCACAAGTCTATCTCCTGCTCACACTCCCTGATATTCCTCAACCTCTCGGCTTCCTCCTTGAGTTCTGCCATGAGGCGGATCAGGTCATCCACCTGCTCGCACCTCACGCACAGTCTCTCTGCCCCCCGCAGGTGGTAGCAACAGGCTCAGGCACTCCCTGCACCCGGAGACCTGAACTGCTGCATTTTTGAGCGGGCAGTCGGTCTGGGTGTGTACAGACTTCCTGGAGAGCGCACTGTGCCTGGTGTCCACCATCGCAGCTGAGCTAGCGCTAGACCGCCGTTAGAGGAGGTGTTGGTATGGGCGGGGGGTAGTGCTCTGCCCTGCCTGCTCGCCCTGCCTGCACCAACTGCCGCGCCTCTCCCTTCTGAGGCGCCACGCGCTGTTTGCCCGTCCTGGTCAAAAAATATAAAGCCACGACATTCGTGATTGTTCCTGTCCATGGAAATCTTTAGTAAAAGGCGAAAGATTTATACGATCTCAAGAGAAACCAGCTTATGTAAGAGTAATTTTCTAGGTATTGCATATATGGCTTTTCTTCACATGCAGTACTTGGCATTTAGTGACCTTGAGCTTTCTCAACCAGTACTTCTCAACATTGATGATGACCTGAAGGTACTGAATGATTATATTCGGTTGTTCTTATAAAAAATATATCTTGTGAGGTGCTTCAAAGTTATTGTGGCTATATGCATGGCTAGGGATTTACCTGTCTTTCCTCATGAATCTCCAGATAACAACCGCCTCTTTATCACAGCCTCTGCTAGATGGCAGAGACCACCATGGGATTTAGGATGCTGTGGTTCAAACCAGAAATCACACAATACCCATACATCTGAATGCAAATTAGAGGGAGTCCGACTTGGCAGACATCAGTCTGATATGGCCTGTCCCAGTCCCTGTGTGGGACGTTCCTCAGCCAGCTCTAAGGACCAAGTCCGTGTGTGTCTTTTCACAAACACTGACCTACCGAAAAAATAGACTGAATTAAATAGAAGAACATAAATATTCTTCTGGTACTGCAGCAGCAATTTATATCCCGAATGTTTTCATACTTCTTGTGGGAAGTTAAAAATACATTTATTTCACCATTTTTTAAAGTATTCTGTATTTTCTGGAGCTCAGCAGACCTTTATTAATCTGATACTACGTTATCCTGCCCAACAAATTCACCGAGAACATGCTGTGTTTAATCAAGGATTTTCACAAAGAGGCTCTGGGAATACAGCTTCAGCTTTTTTTTTACAGGCAGACATTTCAAAATCAGACATGCACATGCATACTCTCATACGAGCATGCACATAAACACAGCCATCACTGCGTAACTACAGTGCTATATATATGTAGCTATATAACAAGTATGACAAACTTCAGTATTTAAAAACACATTTTTCTCTGCTCAGTTTTTCTGAGATCCCATGCAATTTTGTTTATATGAAAATCTGCTAAGGAAACCGGCAAGAAATTTCCCCCTAGAGCTATAATGAAAAAAAAAAATTATCTGCATATGGGGAATTCATGTTTTTGCGAGCTCATAAAAAAGCACAACATTTACTCCTGTACTCCATAATGATTAGTCTTGCTTTAATTTTTTACCCAAGCTTTAAAAAATGGTTCTGATATTTTACCTCAATAATGTGTTGAATAATCTGCCACATGGGAACTAGCATGAACTCACGCTTTATTGGGGAGGTGAAATTTTATCATGCTTCTCCCACCTTTAGAAAATTCTGTGTTGTAAAACCTGGCATTGAACACATTAGTGTATATTCCAAATTTTGTATACACCCGGAAAGCTTACCTAAGACAAAGGAAAGCAGGTAGGTTTTTAAACAGAAACTACTTCCAGAGCAAAATCTAACAGGTCTGCACAGCTGGAATAGGTTTGAGCCCTGGCTCTAAAGTATTTTGGAGAGCTTTTCTCTTTCCATATGGCCTCTAAGATCAGAAATTCTTTGGAGTTGATCTCAACTTCCAAGCTTAGATCCCTGAAATACCAGCACAGAGGATGAGTTCTAATAGCAAGAATTGTCATCCACAGATTCCATAGGACTCTTCTGAGATAAATATATATGTATATATAGATACATGTATATATCCATGAATATGTGAAAGGTATAATCAGAATGGAATTTGTGGCTACTGCAGTGGTTTGCATCACTGAGTTGGTTGTCTATGGCCAGAGCCGTAAAATCTATGCTTGTACACAAGCAGCTTTCTTCAGACAAATGTCTTTCATCATTTACTCTATGTCCCTGAGCATTCTGCATCACTTAGTGTCTTTTGTAATGTATTTGTTTACTATTCAGTAAACCTCTTACACTGCTTTCCTGTCAGAACAGCTAGAGCTCTCCAGATTGTTTTGTGGCTCACGTGGCAAAAGCAGCTCTTTTGAAGCTTACAAAATTTCATGATGCAACTATGCAACCTGTATTAACACTGCTGGGAGGCTCTTGTCTTTGTTCAAGGAAAAAATACATCCCCCCATTAATGTACATTTTATTCCCTCTGAACACATCTCACTATACAATATAAAGCTGTGAAACCTGGAATCTATAAGACTACAAACCCATATCACTCTTTCCATTTGCACACACTCACTCAATTTTCCCAGTCTGCCATCTTCTGTGCTAGCCCCTATAGCTATCAAGGACAAAAGATAGGGCCTTTTGTGTTTCACCATCTCCCCAGATAAATTACTCCTCCTTAAAATACAACAACAAAGAAACCAGCATCTTTAAGGAAGGTGTTTCTTCAGAAAACATTGCAGAAATCATTAGTAGTGTCAGGGCTTGTATGTGCAGTCAGCCTTCAAGCTGGGTCAAAACCAGCAGTGTTTAAGTGGTTGGGCTCCTTTCTATAAAAAATGTTGGCTTTCCAGCAGTCAAAAGTTTTACATTTCAGATCTACAGGGCTTCTCAAGAACTTCAGCTTAGGTGCCCAGTGCTGCTCCTACTCTTCTTTACAAACAGCGTCCTCTGGTCAAATTAACACTCCAGACAAACACAGCTCCCCCATGACATCCCCATGGCCAAGGTGCTCCATGGCAAATACAGTCCTGGTTACATCCACCTCCAGAGAAGACCCTGGAGCACTATAAACCAGGTGAAATATAAATTTCAGCCAGCACTGCTTTTGACAGAATATTTTTTAACCTACACTGTGGGGAGATCTGTGCACTGGTGCTGAGCCTTGCTGCCTTGCTGAGGCAAGCAGATTTGTTACCGAACCCTAAACACCAAATAAATGAGCTAAACCTTCTTGAGTGATAAATCTAGAGCCTGTGGCTGGGCAGTACCCAATGTGTAACACTTGGAAGAGCTGCAGTAACGTGAAAACTGGAAAAAGTAAACATCCAAGCCAGCTCACAACACAAGGGCACTCTCAGTGCCAGCCCTCCAACAGCACAGAGTTAATGGAAGAATTTTATTTGCTGCCTCTGTCTCTTTTTTTGGCAGTGCCCCAAATTCATAATTAAGAATGATGCAAGTGTGATTAGAATATTCAGCAAAATCTGAATAGTTTATGATTTCTACTAAGTTATTTCCCATGAATCCAAAGAGCTCATAAGATCATTCTGAATAATAAAGTAAGTTATTCTTATAGGGACAAGGTATCATTATCTAATATTCATCATGACAGAATACAGTCATCTTACAATTTATACCGCAGAATCCAAGATATTATCTAACACCCATTATCAGCTATGTCTTGAACTGCCTATATTACATTTAAATAAAGAAATCCAGACAGGTGAGATGTCCTACAAAGACGCCATTTTCAAACAAGAAATAGGGAAAAAAATTATTAACTGCTATAAACGTAATAAACTCCTGCTGACGTCTCAAACTCATTACAGCAAACTAACAAGTATAAAGGCTGATAACTATGATAAAAGCAACAGAGAGAAAGGAAATACGATATCTGCTCTTCACTGAGCCAGTCCACCTGACTGCTACTTTTGGCATCTTCCCAAAATGCTTCCCATCCTTTTTGTTAATGCTACATTTACAAAATAACCCTCCCACGCCCCACACCCCATATCCCCCTTTTTATAATGCCAGACTTTGAACTCTGTTTAAAATATAAGGGATGCAATTTGCAGAGCTGTATTTACTATTTCTAGGGAAGTAATTTAACTGATGATTTCTCTTTCAAGTCCAAAAAGTTAAAGAAATGATACAGCACAGCTGATATACCAGTTCCTTCCTCTTGCTTACTGATAATAAGATGCCAACAGAATGAAATTTAGCATCATGCAACTATGCAACTGGGTGCCAAACAGGTTTAAAATTGTTTAATCCTGATGAAAACCATACATAGGAATATAAAATTCACTGGGTAAGTAATCAGTGGTAGAACAGGCAGATCCTTCTTTTGAATCAGCCTTTAAACACAAACTAGCACTAGCCAAAAACAGGTGGCTTGTTTCCCCCACGGGAAGAAAAAAAATAAGACAGAAAAAAGCTATTTTGGAATGACAACTATGACAACTATGAGATATGAGTTAAAATAGGCAAACTACTGATGTCAAAACATGCATCTGGAAAAGGTTTTTGTAGAGACTTCTCCTGTATTTTGTCCCTTGCACATCGTCAGGATTTTAATCTTGCCTGAAGCTTTCATAACCACATTCTTACTATGTGAAAAAGCCAAAGCCAAACATGGTGCACAAGAGAGGGGAAGGCTTCCCTGGAGCCTGCAAGGAACTGGGGCAACTCCTCGTGAGTTGGCCATAGGTGAGCTTGAGCACCTCCACCAGAGCTGTGATAGTTAAGCCCTTCCTCCCTTCCCTCCTTGTTACCCTGAAATCCTTCTGCTGCCACTGTGAAGCTCAGTTTGCCAGCAATGCCAAGATGCTGGAAGAGCAAACAGAGCAGATGTCCCATGCTGTGTGTATTTATTCAGTTGAAGTCTTTCTCTTTTTGTTTTTTAATTATTGAACAGCAGAGTGAAGTAAGTGAAAAAGGGACTTCAAAACACTGCTGCTGTCAGCCATCATTTAATATTTGTTTTTCCTCAAGGCCAAACACATAGTTTGATAATGCATAACACTGATACAAATTAATTAATAATTTGATATGTAAATGATCATTTGTTCATTTAAGGATTAACTTCCCTTACCTTGATACCTGCTGAATGGTGAGACCCTTGCAACATGGCCTTAATGTCTAGCCACAGTCATATTAGAAAAGGATTTTCTAGCCAGAAAAGATTTTTTCTAGTTTTTTTCTAAGCTGCAGAATACAGAGTTGAGGACCCAACACACATATGACACTGCATTTCAGAGTAGCCTTTTCTGAAACTTTACCCTGTTACCTTTCTGCGAGTCTAAGAAAGTGAAAAGAGTTGAAGAATACAAAAAGAAAAAAAAAATCACAGAAGCAAGATTACTGTGGTTATTCAAAGTACTTCATCTCCTCACATCAAATCACATGAAATACATCCACACAGTTTTATTGGCATACCCCAAATCTGGCAGTAAGTGGTCCAGAGGAG